GATGTCTCTTTTAAGTAACAGTGAACCCTTGGTCAGGTAAACATATCTCAGGTAACACTGGGGGTGAGGGAGTGGGGGACACACCTAGGCTGGGGTAGTTCTGCTATTTTCCTGTGTGCTTCTTATAGCTGCATCAGGAGAAGAGATGTCTGCCTCAGAGCATTCTGACTGAGGGGAAATGCAGATTCCGCCTTCTCACAGGGGTGGGTTAGGAGGCTGAGGTGCTCCTGGAGATGCCCCTGTCCTCCTGCCTCCTCCCACATTTCAGCCTCCCACCTTCCCAGCCCCACCCCCACAGCCTGGATTAATTTGGGAAGGGCAATGTTTATATTAACCGTTCATTTATCGACGTCTGCTTGCTGGGTCAATGGCCAAATTTATTGTCTCACAAGATGGGCCGTATCGAGCCAAGCTGCCTCCTCCTCACTTCCCCCAACAGCCTAGGGGGGACAGACGCTGTCAATATGAAGACCGCTGACCTTGGGTCTACTGGTCTCTGCTGGGAACTGAGGAAGGAGAGAAGGGAGCTGGTAGCAGGGTCACCCCGGCACACACACACACACACACACACACACACACACACACACACACACACACTGTGGAACCCTCACAGCTCAGGTGTCACTGCCCCAGGCGGAGGACAGAAGACAGAGAAGTTGGGGTCAGTGGTCAGTGTCCACACACTCACAGGTACCTGCCATGCCTAGCCCAGGCAGCCAATACGATGAGAGAGACCGTCACCGGATGACCAGATCGTCCAGAAGCCAATGTGGATAAGCAGTGAGTGCACTCAAGAAACTGCCAGGGGTCTTGGGTCCTGCAGTGTTGGCCTAGAGCCCAGGGGCAGTTGAGGTAGGGAGGGATGAGGGAGCCAGGGAGTCTCCTCACCTGTTAGCTGTGCCAGCCTTTTCCAGAAAGAGAAGGAGCGGAGGAGGGTGAATGAGGCCTCTGATCTCTGGCCCTCCAGACTAGCCATATAGTCCTGCCATATCAGGGAAGGAAGAGGCACTGAGGTAGGTCCGAAGTTCCTCACAGCCTCGGGCTTGCTTGCCTGTGTTCCTGGGGTCCACGTGGGCCCTGTGCCTACACTGTCTGCCAAAATCCCACTATGCTGCCACCATGGCATCCTCTGCAAAGAACCCAGCCCTGAGCTCTGGCCTCCACAGATGGCTCAGAATATGCCTCAGGTGAGCAGCCAGGCTCTGTTGACAGCCCTTAGAGGACAGGAGCTAGTGTCAGCAACCTGCAGGCCTGACCTGACCTTAAGCTCAGCTCTGTGACCACCAGGCTCTCCCGCCCTTCCCCTCACCTCCTGGTTTTATTCATTCCTGCATTCATTCAACAACGGACATATCCTGAGTAGCTATTGCGAACCAGTCTCTGAGGAATAGCCATCAGCCAGCAAAAGGCTTTGCCTTCTAGAACAGCCCAAGGCTGGGGTGCAGGCTGCAAGGCTGGGGTGCAGGCTGCAAGGCTAGGGTGCAGGCTGCAAGGCTGGGGTGCAGGCTGCAAGGCTGGGTGCAGGCTGCAAGGCTAGGGTGCAAGCTTCAAGGCTGGGGTGGGTCCACGTGGTCATAAGCAGAGAAACCTACAGACATGGTGAAGAGTGTCTGCTTAGGGACCTACACATGTGAAAGTCAGCAGCAGAATGATCTGGAACACAAGATAGGCATGGGGGCAGCCAGGGGGACTGTGGGACTTTGTGGAACTTACTAGCACTGGAGAACAGTAGGGGGTCTGTTCTGTGCTGGTGGGGAACTGATAGGTTTGGTGTCTTTGTGGAGCTCCTTGCTTGCTTGTTTGCTTGCTTGTTTGTTGAGACAGGGTCTCACCTCGTAGCCCTGGCTGGCCAAGAACTAGCTATAGAGACCAGGCTGGCTTTGAACTCACCAAGATCCATACGCCTCTGCCTCCCAGGTATTGGGATTAAAGTGTGCAGTACCACCCCATTCTGGTGTCTTATGAAGGAGGATGGTGTAGGGTGTGACAGGAGAGGGTCAGGGACCAGAGGCCACACAGGGTGGGCTTCTGCTATGTCTCCTACAGGTTGCCCACCAAGAACCCCGTCCTCCCCCGCCCTACCTTCCACTCTGCCCAAGCTTTCTAGGCTGTGTTTCACCCCATGGCCACCAGAAGGCGCATGGAGCCCAGGTAGGCAACACAGCCCCGTGGAGGCCAGGGGCTAGTCAAAGGGCTCATTTGTCCACAAGCCGTTCATCGATGGCTGGGGAAGGGCAGCGATGTTGATTGAGATGCCACACTTGAATTAAGAATCTCCACGGATGGTGATGAGCAATTGATCAGCTCATCAGGGGAGCTGGCCCTGGAAATGGAGAGGGTAGGAGACATGGGGGAAGAAAAGGAGAGGGGAGGGCAGGAGAGGGGAGGGCAGGGGAGGGGAGGACAGAGGCAGGAGGCAGGCACAAACCCACCCTCCTCAGTCTTACTCATGACCTGTTTCTCTATCTGCGACTCCAGGGACGGGTAGATCCCCAAGCCTTGTTCCCTCCAACAGCGATGGGAGCCGTGCCAGACCCTGATGCCTCTTTGCAGTTTCCTTTTATACACGTAATTAATGGTTTTATTTCCTTGAGCTGTTTTAGATTGCAGACAAATGATTGAGGATTTCCAAGTCCCCTTGGTCTCCCCGTCAGCCGCCCGCAGCTTGCCTTGCTGTGATTGAGTGCTCACCACGTGCAACCCTGTGGTGACAGGTCACAATCGCTGAGCCACACCCACCTTCGACTCAGTCCCTGTGACTCCGCCAGGACCAGGCTGCACGGCAGCACCCAGCCCTTCCCGGCAGCCCCAGCTAATCTGCTCAGCCCAACTGTGCTCCTGCTGTCTGTTGTCTTTTGCGTAAGGGCTCTCCACGTGTTTTTTTCCAGGTTCGCGGGGTGCTTCTTTTCAGTGCTGGGTCATAGTCTGTAGTCCGGATGGGCTGCAGGTCATTCATGCAGCTCTTGCTGAAGGGGACCCTGCTGGAGACACTCTGGGTGGGTTTGGTGGGGTCACCAAACTGGCTGGCAAAAGCCAGGGTGCACCTTTGCTAAGCCCTGCACCTTCCTCTACAGGAAACCACAGACAGACACATAGACACACAGACACACGTGCACGCACGCACGCACGCACGCACGCACGCACGCACGCACGCACCCTTCCATAGGGGCTCTGGGCTGCAAGGGAACTGTTTGCTGCTTCCCGATAGACTCTGTACCACCCCGGGGTACTCACCCCTGCAGAACACAGGCCTCCATGCCCTTCCCCTGTGGGCTCCTTGTTACTGCTGGCTCGAGTTATATAGGATATCATCCAGCAAATCCTAGTGGGACCCCTCCTCTCCTCCTCCTCCCCCCCCAATCCCTTCCTTTTATGCGTGTGTCCTCCCCTCCCTCCTCCTCCCCCCTCCCCCATCCCTTCCTTTTATGCCTGTGTCCTCCCCTCCCTCCTCCTCCACTCTCATACATTCACCCTGTGTCCCGCCTACATGTGGCCTGACCCCACACACTTGGTGTCATAGTGTCCCTTCTGGGCCTTCTCTCCTGTGTGCCCACCCCCTGGATGGTGTAGTGACTTTCCTGTGGTTGTTTCCCCCGGCTCTCCAAGCTTGTGACTGCCTGTTTCCTGGTTCTCTCTCGTTCCTGGGTACCCTGACCTCCAGAATGCGAACTTTCAGGACTCGGGACACCTCAGAGGTCCCTGTTCTACATCCTGAGTCTGCCAGGGGACCCACACTCCCACTGAGGCACCTTACCTTCCTGATTTTCTTCTTTATGTGTGACCAACTCTACCCTGCTGGAACCTTCTAGTATCTTCTCTGTCCTCAGCATTGTGAAGTTCCATGATCGTCGGGGTCTCTTTCTACCAGGTAGCAAATCTTGAGCCTATTTCTGAGGTTGGGGGGACTTCTTCTCTGTCTCTGTCACAGTCTGCTTAGTCGTCTTGTCCTCTCGGTGCTCCGGGTGACAACTGAAAATCTTCGATCTCACCTAAGGAAACTACCTCTCCCTGAAGACGAGCAATCCCTCTGCAGGGTCCTCGACCTTAAGCCATCCCCACTGGCACCCAGCCCAGGCCACAGCTACCCTGGCCTTCTTCCACACATAGCCAAGGGAGAGCCTAACAGAGTCACCGGAGGCAGATGGGAACAGTGTTCTGGGCAACAGAGGAGAGGTATTGGAGCGGTCTTAGGATATGCTCTGGAGTTAAGTTCACCTTTAGTATTGATTATCTATTTAGTTTTGATTATTTATTCACAATTTGGTGTCACTGAAAACAACATGATAGGGATACAGTTAAGAAGTACCCAGAGGGAACAACATGGACTATAGCCACTCAGTCAGGGATCTGCTTAGCCTAGCCCTGGACTCTGCCTGGCATGGGTTCCCAAAGGGCCACAGCAGGTGCCATGTTTCCCAAGAAGCCCTTCCTCTCTGCCAGCTGTCCCTGTACATCATTCCCAAACCTGGTGGACAAATTCTGGACAGTTCTCTCTCTGTCCCCTGCTGTCAACTGGGAATTAAGATTCCCCGTCCTATGCAGAAGCCCACCCTGTCCTCCTCAGCAAGATCTCCACTCTTTTCTTTCCTACCCTGCCCATGGATTCCTGCACACCTGACTGATAGTGGGTCCCTATGGAGCACACCGCAGCATCGTGAGGGATGGGTCCCTAGATTCCCTGGGTGGAGCGAGAAAGGTGCCCAGGGTTGTTTCTGTGCCCAGGGCCTGCTTATGGGTACTTTTGATGAAGCCTGTCATGGGATGTGTCCCAGGATCCCTCTTGGTCCCTGACAGCCTCCTGGAGGGATTGGAATATCTGGGTGAAAAAACCCTACCTCCCTGGGCCCTTCCCTACCCTGAGACCCCGAGGCTCTCCTTCATCTAAAAAACACCCAGTGGGTTTGATGGATAAACTGGCTAGCGTGAGGAAATACATTGAGAGGTAGGTAGAGTTAATCTTTCTGTTTAATAAAACATATGGGGCAAGGTATAATATGACTAGGAGCAATGGCCCTTTTAATCCCAGCACACAGGAGGAGGCAGATTTCTGTGAGTTCAATACCAACCTGTTCTACACAACAAGTTCCATGAGAGCCAGGGCTACATAAAGAGACCCCATTTCAAAAAAAAAAAAAAAAAAAGCACACGGCCTCAAAGCCACCCCAGGCCATTACCCTGTCTACAGTAGGTCAAGAGCCCAGAACCCAGCTCTGCCTCCTGCTTAGTCTGCTTAGTCTGCCTCCTGCCACAGGACTCCTGTCCCATGGTTCCCCGCCTCTTTACCCTGCCTCAGGGCTCCTTAGGCTCCAATTCTTTTTTTTTTAAATTTCTGTTCCATTAACTTTCTTTCTTATTATTACTTTCTTTCTTATTGTTATTATTATTTTTATTTTTTCTTAAGGATTTATTTATTTATTAGGTATACAGTGTTCTATCTCCGTTATACCTACAGGCCAGGAGAGGGCACCAGATCTCATTATAGGTGGTTGTGACCCACCATGTGGTTGCTGGGAATTGAACCCAGGACCTCTGGAAGAGCAGCCAGCGCTCTTAACCTCTGAGCCATCTCTCCAGCGGGGCTCCAATTCTTATAGGCAGGACTGTGTAAGAAATCCCGGGTAGTAGCCCGGGACAGCACGATATCTGGCCAGCAGGAGGCGCCATGCCTCAGCCTCCAGGTTCTTCTGCAACCTGATCCAACGACCCTCCCATTACAGAGGTTGTAGAGTCCCTAGGACTTGTCCCCACACCGTCCTCCAACTCACGGACATTGGTGCCACTAGCACCCCTGGCAAGGCTTGGTGGGGAGCACGCCTCTGGGAGGGATCCCTACCCAGCCCCCTGCCCATTGCCTCTGTCCATCTAATGGGGATGCTCCCTGGCTGCTGGGGCTAGGTAGGAAGAACTGGCGGGAGAACGCTGCCCTCTTGTGGAGGGGCATGGGGAGGAGGAGGAGG